TTATATATTATTATTATTATATATATATGTATATATATATATATCATATATATTATTATATATATTATTATATATCATATATATTATTATATATATATTATATACATTATATATATGTATATTATAATATATACACTAAACATAAATGGAATACATAAAATATAAAATCTTCCTATATCTTCTCTAGTCTACCGACGTCTATACGATCTATCATTGTAGTACCAAATTATATATAGGATAGGTTTGTCCGTTGTGTAAATCAAATTTATAAACTTTCACAATCATAAGCGGATATTTTCCTGTTCAAACCTTTATGTGTAGTACCATCTTATCGTACATATGAGAAGAGACCGACACTAGTGTGCTGTACCTGCGCGTGAACATGTGAACACAAAGCACGCATCGTATACAAGCAAAGCAGAGACAGAAAAAAGTATAAAATTTGCCGAGCCAAATTCCAATTTTTTCCTCTTATTTTTTGCGTGTTCCAGGTTGGACAATCATACAACAATGTCAAATTTATTCTGGAGAATGAGCCCGAATTACCTGGGCTGACCAAGCGATGGTTTCTAAATCGAATCTTCAATCAGACAGAGAAGGCGCGAATTTTGACCCTGCTCAAGAAACACAAACAGGTATGTAACATCAAGAGCAGTGTCGTAATATAATCGTGTGTATCTACAGACCAGTCCATCAATCAAACTTGCGCAGGACGCTTGGATGATTTCCTGAGACGGTGGCACATATCCCAATTTTAAACAACTTTTCATACACCCATTTTAATTGTAGGAATATGTCGATAGAGATATTGACCTGAAGGAGTTCGAGTCCCAAACAAGCATTGAGTACGACAACCCACTTTATGTGCGCATGGACCATATCCGTTACACTCCCCCAATGGCCGATCACCACGATATCGATCGCGCCATATACCGCGAGAGTATCATAGACAATATGTACCAGACGCGTAACCGGTATGTTATCAACAACAACGGCGCCCGGAATGAGATGGTTAGTCTGGGCAAGAAGGACGGTTTCCGATGGATTCTACCGTTCGATGGAAACTGCTTCTTCACAATGAATGCGTGGGCTGAGGTGTGTTTAGACGATGACTATACTTGAGACCTAGATTGGTTTGGGCACACGTTCGTGTCTAGTGTTCCGTCTTCAATTGACACGCACGTAACTCGTTATTAAGACTCATCTGTTTTTCTATTTGTTCCCTCGTACCCACAGATGCGCAACATCGTGCACCATCGAGGCAACGAAACCAAGTACTTTTACGTACCCATGGAACGTATGCAAGATAATGCAGATCTACTCGACCCCAATTTCTGGCCCGATGCCTTAGAAGAACCTCAATTGTTATTCCGAAACGATTCCAGCGAGAAATTTGACGAGGAAAAGACTAGATACGGCCGCAGGCCTAAAGTGGACATGTTGCTGAGATTGGCCATCCCGGGTGTATGGGATGCACAGGTGCTCAAGAGTAACCCTTACTACGAAGAGTACTCGTACGAGATCTCCCAGGACATCCCTGGGAATGATACGGTGCCTCCTGCAAGTTGGGTAGCCCGTCTATACAGTGGAAGTGCTGAGCAGGAGCAGACTACAGAAGATAGTGCGTCACTACGGAAGTACGCACGGTGCATTGGTGTGCAATTGATCTGTGACCAAGTAGCCGCAAAGGCCCTAGAAGAACTCCATGGCTTCAACCCCGATGACATGCTGTTCTACAACAAAAAGGCCCTTAAAAAGACGCGTAACAGCTACAAAGACGGTGATCTAGCCGAGAATGTCGCCGAGCAGTTGCGCACGTGCGCGGAAGATGCGTACCTAAAAGACGCAGAATCCTTGCTTGCCATCTCACCAGAAGGGCCTATCTACACATCCGTCGAGTACGGAGTGCGTGACCACACCGAGCCCGAGGTAGCAGCACCGGGTCGTCTGGCACCGTTCTTCCGCAGTGTCACATGTTTGGGGTTGGCTGGCTATGTGCTGGGCGAGAAACGGTACATCGAGCGCGCCAGTCAGTTGGTGAACAACTTCTTCGACCAGGGCAGAGACAATAGCGTATCTGTAGACACTATGATCAACAACATCTACCCTAAGAAGAAGGAGGAAATTGAGGAATTGCACAACATAGAGAAGGCTATCCTGGGTGTGTACGAGTTCAAAGACTGGTACTACGTCCTGGACATTGTGCGCCTGTTAAACAGTGAGAAGGCACTTACTGCTACCGATATGGTTGCTGCACGTGACTGGATGAGTGAGTACTTTGAAAAGGTGCAGGCCATTGCCAAGCCTCGTGTTCCTGTGTGGGGCTTTGAGATGGCAAGCGCCGCGGCTAGAGGGGTGTGGTACGATGTGCAGATGGCATCTATCGCACACTTTGTGGGCAATTCCAAGGACTTCCTCGTAATTATAGATTCTGGAAAGGCCCGTATGCAGCGCCAGTTCAGCAACACCGGTGCACAAGGTGATTGGGAGGGCGAGTTCATCGGGACCATTGCCACAGCGAGAGCGGAATTGGAGACCACCTCCAATCGGATTATGCGACAGCTTACTGAGTCTGGGTATGTATTGAGTGGTTGGGTGGCCATGTGTCAGATGGCCACCACTGCGAATGTGGATCTGTGGAACTACAAGCACAAGATGGGATTGAACGGACCACTCCTGAGAGGTGCATTGACAGTCTATCTGCCATTTTATAGCGACAAGACGGAGCTGCCATCGGTAAGTATTAGCTATTCATACTTGTACGTAAGTGTCAAATGTCTGTAGAGGCGAAGCTCGTTGACTGGCCTAGTATTACCCTTGGTGATTGTCTCTTGAAATTTCTAAAGTGGCTCGTTACAACTATAATCCGTTTCTAACAATGTCAATTTTCTTTAAATCTACAGACGCACGGCGTGGCTGAGCGTCAGGAGTTTCAGGACAAGCTCAAGTTAAAGTTGCGCTCTACATACAACAACCTCAACACATCCAAACCAGAAGGGCTCTGGACAGAGGACCTGTTGGTAGCTATCTACCACATGACCCGCGACCAGTACAACGACCTAGAAGCAAGCAAGAAGGTTGTGTCTAAGGTACACCACTATAATGAGGCTGTGACTATGCCTGTAGAGAATACTGGTCTAATCAGGCCTTTCTGGAATCTAGCTTTATAATTGTAAGGTGTACCTTCAGCTCTGGTTGACCAGGTTGAAAACATATCAATGGATTCGCACGAGGGCATGTCGCCCAGTTACTGTTCCCGAAATCATGAATGTGCATCAGCTTGTCGTACCAAGACATGCACATTGCGCAATCAACCACCATGTACATGCATGAAGATACTATCGCTTTTCATGAGAGATAGGATGGCTTTAAATCCTCTTCCAAACCATAGTGTTTGTATGTAAGCCAATCCCGTGCGAGGTGCTTGCAGGCTTTAAGATTCCCAGCCACCTAGTGCAGACGTTGAGTAGTCTAGCCTGTAACCACTTTATACAGATGTATGTAAATATGAATATATATACATATAGATGTATATGAACGGACTAAATACTTCAGAACGAGGAGTAACAAAAGACAGTAAACAACACCAGTTCTTTTTGCCGCAGCGTTGTAGTACGAGTGCGTGGAGGTGATTGCAAAATGAGAGAGTAGTGTAGTTAGCGTCATAATTTAAATAAAAACCAAAAAAAAAGTGATTTTGTTCTCTTGCCGCATCAAGCGCGAGTGTGTGTAGAACTGATCACACATCGTTTGCTTGAAACGCTACTCACACATAGCTATTCAGACATAATCCTCACTCTTAAGCGCCCATATCCCTGAATGGATTACAGTACACAGTAGGTAGAAAACCCTAGTATACTGTGACACCATCTTCCAGGGCAGGGAGCATATACACCTCGAGGTGTACATGATCCTTGTCCTAAAGTGAGACGGTTGTACCGAAGAATATTGGTTGGGATGAATACATTCCAGATGTCAATTTTTAATATATATATAAATACATACACACACACACACACACAC